TCAGAAACTTACTCTTTCCAGGGGTAGAAAACCTCACCTTTCTCCTGTGTCACCCATTACGCCCCCGCCTCTTCATGCTTCCCTCTTAATTTAAACTCAAAGCCCCTCACCATAATCCTACTGTTGGTCTGAGCGGCAGAGGGGCGCCAGGTGAGTGGTGGGCTGGAGTCAGGCTAGCTGCTCGGAGCTCCGAAGAGGTCAGTGATTCTGCATTTTGACACTTGTTTTTCAAAGACATCTATCATTTTACCTGAACACACACCGCGAGGTACCGGTCCGGCCCTCAGGAACCAGCCGCGGCCCAGCCGACCGGGACGCGGGGGACCAGGCTCCGGGGGGAAGAGAGAAGACGGCGACAGCTGCTGCGGCAGGAAGTCGCGCGGCTCGTGGGCAGCCCCGGCGGGTCGGAGAGTCCGAGTCTGCCCTAGAGAGGCGGCACCTTTAAAGCTCAAAGCGCCCTCCACGGCGCCGCGGCGACTACATCAACCACCAGAAAGAGGCGAGGGCGGGGAGGGGGCGGGGCGACTGATGGATCGGCACTTCCGCTTCCGGGCGCTCTCGTTGGTGCGGGGAAGAAGCTGCGCGCTCCCCGGCCCAAGACCCGAAGGGCTCCACCTGCTGTCCAGGGGGTTCAGTGCTTCCTCCTTGGCCTTGACATCTGACCTCTGCTGTCTCTTCTACAGAGCAAAACACCCGGGTTCTGGTGGTGTAATGATTAAAGCACGGAGCCGATAGCATAAAAGCCACTGGTTAGAACCCACCAGGTACCCCAGGGGTTGGCTTCAGTAAAGAGGGAGACAAGATATTCGGATAGCCTTGGGGGCAGCTTTACTCTGTACTGAAACAGGGTTGCTCTGACTTGGAATTGACCCGCCAGCCATGAATTTCAGATTGGGTTACAGAGAAAAGCCTGGATTTTCTGAAATGCGTATATGACCTTTAAACGCAGATTTCAGTCTCAAAGATTTCTAATACCTCCCCGTTTACATTTTCATTATCACTGACATTTCTAAGTGACGTCATTAAGTGCCAGCAAGTCGGTTCCCACTCAATCTTTGTGTTTGGGGTTGGCATGAGACGCATAACATCAACAAATTACTTTCCGTAACATTGTATGCAGTCCACATAACTAATGATCACACATCCACAAAAAGATGATGGTTGTAAATGCGGTTGGTCATAAGAAAAAGTTGGGGGCTTTGTTGTACCGCTCTATGGAGAACAACACATCTTGAATAGATGAAGTCAGACACAACACAGTTCCTACGTCTGATTTCAGTTACATGGGGACCAAGAACATACATTACCAACGTTTAGGTTAGTGATGTGGGCAAGTCGCTTGTGCCACCCAGAGACCTTAAGAAAAGGAGCAGGAAAGAAATCTTAAAGGGAAACGTAAACACCCATTCTTCCGAAAATATGAACATGAGAGAGTATTTTACATCTTGAAGCATTTACATTTTCGGCTAATGTAACGGAGGGCAAACTAAGGATAGTTAAAGATGAAGACTGTAAAGGATCATTACATGTGGAGAAAGAAACTAGAGAAAAGTTATAGAAACAATTCGACTTCATAAATAGAAAGGTGAGGAAATGAAATGTTTATTTTTCAAAGAAAATGTAACATTAACATTGGCTTTAGCCAGGGATGCATATGGCAGGCAGCCAATTACAAAGAAGGGGAGAAAAAAAGACAGGGGTGGGGAACAGGGCACTAACCCACCCAAGGGGAGGGTATTGTTTCTATCTTCACAGGAGAGGGACCAGACTTCAACCCAGTGGGCCAAGATGTGAATGCAACATACTGACATGAAGCAGGGAACCAACAGAGAGGTTTGCAGGGTAGGACCCAATCCCAACTAACTGGACCTCTCCTCCCCCCAGAAGAATGCACTTCAGAGGACAGCACTGAAGCTGTAACTCAGGGCGAGGGTTGCTTCTGATCAGGAGCAAATGAAGAGGGAAGGAGAGAGAATGGAACACATCCTGGTCCATCAAGCCCCAAGGACAATATTCCAGCTCAGAGCAGCCAATGTACAGAGAGGACCATAGGGCCAGCCCTACCAGGAGACAGGATGTCCCTCACTGACCCCTATAGCTACAGGAGACAGCACTGGAGACACAGTGCAGAGTTGTGCCTGATCTGACCCCACCACACTGGAGGGGGTGGGGGGAAACATTAAGGGCATGCAAAGAGGAGCAGGGGGAGCAAAGCAATGAAGACCCTGAGAAATCCCAAAAAGACTTTGGGGCCAGGGCATGGCACCCCATCAGACTCAACTGGAAAACACTAATAAAGGTCAACGGACAGCCCTGAAACTATAAGCTTTTCTTTTTTTGCTGTTGGTTCTGTTGATTTGGTTTTTACTTTCTTTTGTTATGTTTCCCTTGGCTGCCATTGACCCAGGTAGTCTTGTAATTTCTTGGCACCAAGGATATGGGTGACTCAGAATATGCACATAGGCCACACTTAAGTTTCAGAGCCCTCCCAACTTCGATAAGGAGCGGTAGGTGTAGAGAGTCACTGAGTTTAACTGAAGTGTATTGGTGATTCTCTGAGGTGCTTGGAGACACTGTGTCCTTATGATGTTTTCCCATATTCCCGGATGCCCTGTGTACACTGAGAACATAGCTGTATTTGTTAAGATTAGTCCCATCGAATTGTTTGTGCTTAGAGCAATTCTATCATGATGTTATTGTTACATGATGCATGCTATGTACCCTTGCCTCATTAATATATAAAGCTGTACTTTGGAAATAAAATTTGCCTTTGGATCATCAGTCCACTGGCCACTCTTTTTCTTCAGGGCGTCACTCACTGCAGGTCCATACTGCTGGGCGGTAAAAGTGGGGACCAAGGAGGAGCTGTTTTTAAGTTAAAACCAGAACCTGCAACTCCTTAGCAACCAACTGTATTCACTACATGGGAGGGCCATGAAAAATACAATATTGTCCACATAGACTTCTTAGAGGGAACTAGAGTACCTTATAGAATAAGTGACATGAGTCAAGAAAAAGTACCCCAAACACTTAAATTCATGGTCATAGCAATTGAAACCCATTACAGCAACCCCATGGGTTAAAAATTAAACTTTTATAATAACATTTTACTTTGTCTTCTCAAGCTGCCCTTTGAAATGTTCTGTTCAGTTATTCTACTTTATTTCTTTCATTTGCCATGGCTACTCTGTGAGTAAAAGCAAGTTTTAGAGTCTCTTCTAACATCTGTTTTGATCTTTTGTCTTTTTAAAGACCTTTTGACTTCTTCATGCATGATGTTCTTGACGTCATCCCACTCTTCATCCGGTCTACTGTCACTAGTGTTGAATGCATCAAATCTTGGGATATTCTTGAGATTCAGGTTAGAGAGACTCAAGGTCCATTTCGGCTCTCAAGGGCTGGTTTTCATTTTCTTCTGCTTCAACATGAACTCACACGTGAGCAATTGATGATCTATTCTGCATTCGATGGTATAAAAACCCATCTCCCACATGGATCTCTAGCCCCTAATAACGTTTGAACTGATCAACTGGGCTTTTTTTTTAATGCACTCAGTGCCTCTTGGAGCTACTCTAGTGGACTGCAGCATGACGCCCACTCCCCTGTGACCCACCTTCTGTGATACTTGCCTTTGAAATTTTCTGTTCAGTTATTCTACTTCATTTCTTTCATTTGCCATGGCTACTCTGAGTAAAAGCAAGTTTTCGAGTCTTAAAGTTTTAAAGTCTTAGAGTATTAAAGTTTCCTTCCCACCGCTCCTAAAATTGCTTTGTCCAGAGAATGTCATTATCCTTCCAAACCTCCATCGGATGCACTGAAACACTCCCTCTGCCCCACTTGTATGACATGAGACTTTCATCATTCTACTTCTTCATCATCTGTTTATGGAGTAATTGCAATGTGTTCTGTGATCAAAATGGAATCGTTCCCTCTACTGAGGATCTAGTGGAAGAACATAGGCAAGGAGCCTTCTGTCATGGTTCTCTCAGTGTAAACGAAGTCTGAAAGCAGCAGGTTCTTCTATCAAGATCTAAAGTCCAATCTATTAAAATTAACTTAATACCAAAGTCATTGCCATTGAGTCGATTGCAGCTCATGTGTCAATACAGTAAAAGAGCATCCTAGGATTTTCTTGGCCATAATCTTTCCAGAAGTAGATTCCAAGGCCTTGCTTTCATAGCACTACTGTGGGTTTGAATTGCCAACCTTTCAGCAGTTAACAGTCAAGTGCAAACTGGGCCACCAAGGAACCTGTCTCACAGGTAAGTGCTATTAATTTATTGTATAAATTATTGTATAAACATTCCTCTCTCCTAATTAGCATGTAACAACAACAGAAAGAGAAAATACCTCAAACCACAAAACTGGATCATGCTAACCTTATAGGACAGAGTAAAACTGCCCTTGTGGGTTTTCAAGACCACAAATCTTTATCAGAGTAGCAAGATTTCTCTTTCTGCCTTGCAGTGGCTGATGGTTTCAAACTCCTGAACTTGCAGTTAGCAGCCCAGCACATGACACATTACGCTTTAAGGGTCAACTATTTTCTTTGTGTGTGTGTGTGTGTGTGTGTGTGTGTGTGTGTGTGAACAAAAACAAGAAAATAAATGCATGTCATATTAGAAAACTGATGTAAAGCTAACCTTAATGAAATATTTTATAGCATCAAATTTTGAACATTAAAAGAATAATCCCTTTAGTGTAGGTGGCATCTCATCAAATGTAAACACCAGGAGGGAAAAAAAGTAAATCCCAAACAATAACTAATCACTAAGCTTACACACAGACATACCTCAGAGTACGCAAGTTTGGATCCAGTTGACCACAAGAAAGCAAGTCATGTAGGAAAGTGAGTCTCATGAGTTTTTTGGCTCCCAGTGCAAATGAAAGTTGTGTTCACTCTATGTTATTATCTATTTAGTGCAATAGCATTTGGAAAAAGTTTGAGATATTGTGAAAATTACCAAAATGTGACGCAGAGACACAAAATGAGTTCATGCTGTTGGAAAAATGGGGCTGATAGATTTACTTTTAGACAGCGTTGACAAAAACATTTTTTAAAAGAATGCAATAGCTGCAAAGCAAAAGAAAACGACTCTACCCCTTTAGATTTTAACATAAAAAAATTGTGGTATATGGAAATTGAGGTATATACTGAAAAGTACAGATCTCCTTCTTGTTACATGAGAGACAATCTCTCATCCACAAAACAATCTACTCTTCATATTTTGTGTCTCTCAAAGAAGTTCATACAAAGCAATTTGGATATAACACAAAGCATTCATAATACAGATAAACAGGGTGGACATTGAAAAGACATGCTAGTGAGCTGAAGAGTTCTCAAGTGCCAAGCCATCAGTTTCTTCAGCACTCCTTTCTATGTTTCATCTAGTTTTCAAATGTTCTGCTAGGCTCTTGGCTCTCTCCACCTCCCTGATGAAGCTGTCTGCCCTCAAGGCCAGAGTCAGCCTCTCCCTTGCTTTCTTCACTTTCAGCGTCTGTCTCCTAATATCTACAGGAGTGACCAACAGGCCACGAAAGCTCTGTGAGAAACGCAGATTCACCCCTGGGGTGATCTCTGCCATATTTGAAGAGTAGCCGGAGGTGGGTTTAGGGTGAGGACATGGACCACCATTACAGTCACAAACCAGAAACTCATCTGGACCACCTGGTACAATTTTTATTATATCTGTGAAGGTCAAAGTATCTAAGGGTTCTCCTGAACTGCTGCAGGCCTGAAGTCCTTCTAGTCTCCTGTAAGCACACACCTGCTGGGGCTTCTTTAACTTCTCCTCCCATTGACTACACCTGACCTCAGTGCCTGAGTGAGAAGTGATTCTACTAACTGGCTTCTGGAATATACAGGTCGTCATCCTTAGCGGAGTGTTAAAACTTAAAGCAGGTTTCCACTTGGCCTTGGTCTCAAGAGCACGGTTCCTCTTTGAAGTGTGAGGTATCATATTTCTCTTGAGCTTCCCCTTTAAAAACAAAACAAATGTCAGATTGTAACCAAGTGTGGAATAAAGGCTCCCATTTCCCTGTCACCCTGGAGAAATGCCTCTCCAATTGTACCATGAACCACAATCATCCAGGCAGTGGGTTAAGACTGCTGGCCCCTATACCAGAAGTTGTGGTAACATAGTTTAGGGTGGGGCCTGAGAATTTGCATTTCTAAGAAGTTGTAGGTGGTGCTGATGTTGCTAGTCCATGCACTACATGTTGCAAACCGGATCCTGGGACATCATCAACCAGACGTGAGTCAAGGACAGAAAACTAAAAGTTGCTAAACCCAAACTCCACACCAGTTGCCATCAAGTTGATTCTGGCTCATGGCAACTCCATGTATGTCAGAGTAGAAATGGGGTGAAGAGTTTCCACTCTGATATCTGATAGTAGATTGCCAGTCCTTTCTTCTGAGAAGCCTCTGGTTGAATTAAAATTGCTCACCTTTTTGTTCCCAGTCAAATGTGTTAACCATTTGAACCACTTTGAAGGACTCTAATTACCCAGCCAACTCTAGAGTACTTCTCTATCATCTTCCTTTAAGAATGCCGCTTTCTTCCCCACGCTGTCTCTGGCAACACTATACATGGTGGAACTCCTTTACCCACCCATACACCACTTATGACCTGTGATGCTGGAACCTATGTCACCAGTATGTCAATTACCGCGAGGGTCGCCAACGGGGTCTAGGTTTTAGCAGAGCTTCCAGACTAAGATTGGAAAGAATGAACCTGGTGCTCTAATTCGGAAGGAAGAAAAAGGTCAATGGGAACCTTACAGCAGCAGAACGTTGTCTGATACAGTGATGGATGCTGAGCCCCCAACTAGGAAAGGCACTCAAGGCTGGGGAACAGCTGTCTTCTCAAAGTACAATGGATCTTAAGAATGGAATAAAGCTGCCTACTTCATTTGCCAGCAATGTGAGTTTGAGACCTCCAGCTAGCATCTTACCCATGGACTTGACTTGGACGGGGATGGCCCACTTTCTTGATATAAATTTTTTTTATACGTACACATGTCACTGCTTTTGCTTCTCTTGAAAACTCAGCCTAACAACAAGATTTCCTACAATAAGGCAATCTCGTCCATTTTCCTGGTTCAACTATGATCAACAAATTAAAACTTTACAAAGAATCAGCAGAGCTTTGACTTCAACCCCCAGACCCAAATGTCTACCTGCTCACTTACCACAACAGTAATCATGTGGGACCTCAATCCAGTGACCAGGTCCTAAACTGAAATAACCATCACTCCAAATAACGTGTTTCCCAAACTCATTGGTAAAGCTTGAATGTCATTATGGACTCACTACTCAATCTTGATAGCTTAGATTGGCCCTCTCCTGTCCTAAAGTAGAGGGCTACCCACTCACTTTCCTAAATCCATCCACAGATTCATCACTACTTTATTAATTCCTCATCACTTTTCAAGGCTCCACAAAATTTCATATTCACAGAATGACCTTCCCTGATCCAGCAGCCTAATGACAAAACTCTTTTCTGTTTTGATATTATTTCCCTACTTTTTCCTGAAATATGTATCATCATCTATTTATTTCACAGTACTCTTTCTCACTACATTGGTTTCTCCATGAAGACTACTATGGGTTTTTTAAATGTTTTCTTTAACTGCTCACCTACAGCTTTGTATATAAAAAGGGCTCAGATGTGTTTATTGGAGATTATTCCACTTAAAAATTTGGCCTCCTAAAATATTTCCATTCAGTTCAACTTTATAATGCAGTGATACAACGTTTGCGTGGCACACTGCTCTCAATTACTGGCTACGTCTCCGAATCCTTTCTGCCCATGATGTGATTGCAAGACTAACCACAGTAATCAACCAGAGTGCTATTGAGTTCACTCTCATTCATGATCACCCCATGTCTATCAGAGTAGAACTGCTTCCAAAGCATTTTCAGAGGGTGATTGATTTGGAAGGAGATGGCGCTCGGGAGGACACGTTCACCAACCTTTCACGTAGTAGCTAACCTCTTAACCATTTACACTATTCTGAGATAATAAGCATCACCACCTAGGAAATAAGCTTTTCTAAAATATCCTCAAATTTGAAGAGCCACTGCCTTCTAAATTTTACAGAAGGACAAATAAACAATACTCACTGTCAATTATTACCAATAATCACGAACATGGTACTGGGCCTGCCACTATTTTATTCTGGTACGCGTTGTGATGCATTACTATGCGTTGGAGATCACTCAACAGCAACAAATAGCGAAAGAACACTCTGTGTGACTTTCATACTCACCAGCAAGCGCTGGCTTGGAAAAGCAGCTGCTGCAGGTTCCGCCGTGGTCTCAGAGCTGTTCCGCTTAACACGTGCCTGAGATGTGGAGAGCATGTCTCTGCCTGGAAAATGCAGGGACCTGGGCATCAGAATCCGCTTTTTAATAAAGTAAGAGAGTGGGGAATCCAATCAGCCCACAATGCAGAGACATCCTGCCCCCTATCCTTGGGATTGGAGCAATTCCAAACTTTTGTAAAAAAACACAAAAGTATAGGTTATTGACACTGTCACATAGTGCTGGCTGATGAAAAGTTGGAGTCATTTGTGTGCTTGTTTGAGGGGGTCGTATTTATATTTCCATCAACATTTAGAATACTTTTTTGCCCCACTACTTTATGTCTTTCAATGTAGTCTAGAGAAATAGAAGTTTCTATGTACATAAATTTTCCAGACAATATTTTAATAAGGCAAAATTAGAAACATCTTAAATTTCATTAGTAAGTAAACATTAAAGTTTTATTGTCTCTTCTATGGACTATAACATACAGCTATTAAAAATGAATATTTTATGCATTTACATTTTATGTAGTTACCAGTAAACATGAGCTTATTTCATCTATTTTACAGTTTTCTCTACATTTTTTGACATAACTAATCAAAGGCTGTCTTTTTATGTCACTGCTTGATATCTTGTTGAAGATTTTTATTATCCAATTATTCCCTCTATAAAACTATTCATTTTATAATCATATACAAACTTTGTATAGTTACAGTAGTGATTCAATCATATAACCATGACTTCTAACAGTCTAATACAGATACTCTTATCACCTTCTAAATACTAATAGCTTAGAACATATCACCATTTCCCCTGTTTGTCTATTATAATAGTGTAGTTGGGTATTTTCATCTCCATGAGGCATTTTAGTATTGCATCATACAACAATATTCATTTATATTTATCTATATATCATCCTTACTGGGGCTCTTCCCTCCTTTCTACATTTTCAGTTTTCAATCTGGCATCCTTTTCCACTAAACTGAAGAACTCACTATAGTATTTTTTTTCCCCATAAGAAAGTCTCCTAAATATGACGCTTCGGTTGGTTTTTCTGCAGACATCCTTATGTCTCCTTTATTTTGGGTCAGCATTACTCTTGGGCATAGAATTCAGCTTGACAAGATATTTAGTATTTTTTAAAAACGACTTCATTAATTTCTGCCGTATTTTATTTATGATCGGGTGTCAGCTGCCAGGCGTTTTCCTGCTTCTTTGACCTCTGCAGGAACCTTGGTGGTGCAGCAGCTACATGCTGGGCTGATTGGAAGGTCAGTACTACTTCAGAACCACCAGCTGATTTGGCGGACAAAGACAAGGATTTGTATCCCCCTAGAGATTTAGTCTCGGAAACAGACAAGGACAGTTCTACCCTGTTCTAGAGGATTGCTATGAGTCCAAAATGACTCAATGGCAATGAGTCTTTTGGCTTTTTGACCTCTAGACTCTCTTGACTTTCTCTCCCTTAGCATCCAGATGGTGATATGCCTTTTGTGAAATTACTTTGCTAAGGATACACTGAGATTCGGCCTCCCCCCCCCAACCCCCGTCGTTTAAAGGCTTTCTCTTGGCAATTTGGAGCATGTTCTTGCAGATAGGTGTCATCCAATGGACTCCAGCTTAGACGGGCCCTATGCACCACCAAATGCAACATTACCGGGTCCTGAGTCATCTCCACACTGGCCAGGTTTCCGGCCCTGGTTGCAGCTGCCTGTAAACCTACCACATTGAAGGGCTCCTCCTTTCTGCTAACCCTCCACTTTACTGAGCATGTCTTTCCCCAGAAACTGGCATCTCCTGATAACACATCCAACATTCTGGAGCAAAAGTCTCACCATCCTTACTTCTCAGGAGCATTCTGGCTGTACTTGCTCCCAGATGGATTTGTTCATTCTCCTGACAGTCCCTGGGACTGTCAATGTTCTTCAGCAACACCACCCTCCATATGCGTTGACTCGTCTCTGGTCTTCCATACTCACTGTCCAGCTCTCCCGTGCATATAAGGTGATTGAAAGGATCACACCTTGGGTCAAGTGCACTTTAATCAAAGTTTTATCTTTCCTCTTCACACTTCACCTATTAAAAGTTTTATTGGCACTTCATGCACATATACAATTCAATCATTCCATCTTATCAAATTAAGTTATTCAATCTTTATCACTATCAATTTTAGAACATTTTCTTCTTTATACTCATCGTTATTCGTTTTTTTTTTCAATTTTGGCAAAAATACACACAACAAAACATTCTCCAAGTCCACAACTTGTACATGTATCATTCAGTGTCATTGAACTGTTGTACAACCATTACTGATATCCCTCTCCAAACTGTCCCACTACCATTAACATGAACTCAATGCCTCCTGGGATAGCTAGGTGTTTTGTGCCGACATGGCACTTGTAAGAAGATATGGGAAGCAAAAACACCTCCCGCTTCATCTGTAACACTTTAAAGAGATCTTGTGAAAGGCCATGGTGGTGTAGTGGTTTGACATGTTGGGCTCCTAACTGTAATGTTAGCAGTTCGAAATCACCAGCCACTCAGGGGAAGAAACACAAGGCTTTCTACTCATGGAACAAGGTAAAATCTCAGAACCCCAATTTACAGCCTATCCTTTTCTATAGAGTTGCTATGAGTCAAAATTGTGAGTTGATTCTTGGGAGTGGGTTCAGTTCCAGGCTTAACGAGTTGAGATAGCAAATGTTTTGTAATGCATATTTTATTAAAATTATTAAAAGAGAATATAAGAGAGCACCTTCACCATTAATGAACAGAAACATTTTCCTTTGATGCCTAAAAGATTATTAGATATAAAGAAAAAATATAAATTGGGTCATATTAAGATACATTAAGAAATAGTAATTAGAGGGTCGAGTGGGCAACCATATATCATCATAAAATATTTTTATTTTCTTTTGCCAATAAAGTACATCAAGCCAAAATATATAAAGGCTTCTTGATAAATGATAAAGAATACTGAAAACTCACTGGATAAATGAAAAGGATTAAAAAATTGAATATGCATTAATAAACAGAAAGTGCAATGTTCAATAGTAGTATAAAAATGAAAAGCTTAATCTCTTTAGCTTCAGGAAAATGCTAATTAAATTTAGAGTAAGATACCACTACACCCACACCAGCTTAGTTGAAGGAAAAATAAGGCTGGAAACAGTTGTCTGATCACAAATAAAATAACATAGAAGTCAATGAACTTCTGGAAAAGCTATGGACCCATCGTGAAAGTTATGCATCCTGTACCCTGCACTAACAAATGAGTAACTCATGTGATTCAATTCCGCTGATGGCTGAGAGCATCATTTAAGCTGCTTTTCAAACTTCAATCTTAGAGGTACCACTATATTTTGGGGGTGACATTTTGAATGTTACAGTAAAAGCAATTGAAGCTGGAACCTGTGGAAGGCAGAGACATACTTTCCACTAACAGAGAGAACACTAGAAATAAGCTAAGACTGCCTCCTGTCCCGAGTTGGAAAACTTGCATTGAAAAATTACCTACCATCTAATCGATCCCAACTCCTGTGACCCTAGGGTAGAACTACCCCTGTGGGTGTTTGAGGTTGCAAACCTTTATGGGAGCAGTAAGCTTGGTGGGTTCATACTGCTGACCATGCAATTGGGAGCCTAACCTGCAGCCCATTACGCCATAGACTTCCAAGACCCAGGAAAAGGAAGCCGTCCTGGGAAGCTCCAGCTCTCACAAGTTTCATTATATATTCATATCATACCTATTTATTATCCGTAACAGATATAACACATATTATTTACAATACAAACCCAAGCAAGGGTTCAGTGAGACTGCTCTGTTGTCTTGGCAAGTCTCTGTGAGGCCGGAGGTATGGATAATCATAGTTTGTGGACCATGGAACAATTCACTGATGAACTCGTTTCCCCGGTCAACACACCAGTTCTCTCTCCCACACACACTTCCAAGATTTACCTAACGAGTTTCAACCTCCAGCTAACACTAATCAAGCTCCATACTGCTAATCTTTCTCTGTATATGAATAAAAACACTACAAATAGGATTCCCTTAAACTTCTTATCTTCTGGTTACTGCTTAACACACTGAAGATATTCTTTTCCTTACACATACACCCTGTTTAGCATCGGTTGGCCTGATGGCTCAGCATTAGGAGGCAGATGCTCCCAGAGCAAAAGCTGTGTCTAGGAGTCCCTGAGTGGCACCAACGCTTAAGCACCCAGCTGCTAAAAGGCTGGCTGTTCAAATTCATCCAGAAGCACCTCTGGTAAACAATTCTGGCCATCCTGCTTCTGAAAGGTCACAGCCAGGAAAATCCTAGAAACCTATGTACGGAGATACATGGGCAAACCATGAATCAGATGCAACTTTATAGCAAATGATTGGCTGTAGGGTTTAAAGGCTATGCCTGCAACTGGGGAGAATGGAGGAAGTCAGGGGGCTTTTTCTGTCCTGCACTCTGGTAGCTGAGTGACAGGCACTGCATGAGCTTCCTTGGTCAGAGGCTCTCTCCCTTAGGATCCTGGAACATGAGGGGTGAAACAAGTGGTTGGATTGCCTGGACAATAGCGATTGATCCCAGGAGTATAGATGTGAGTGACCAAAGTCAGCAAATGACCAGTGGCAACATCACTAGAGGTAGAAACCTGGAAACCCACTCACCCCAGAGGGTCTTCTCAGACCTCCCCTCCCCCTCATTTCTCACGGGAGAACATCCAGTGTGGACTAATTCTGTTACTTACTGTCTGATGACCACTGGCAAAATCACTTGAGGTGGAGACCTGGAAACCCAGAGATCTTCTCCGTCCTCCCTTCCTGTAGGAGAGCGGCGGATGTGATCTACTTCAGAGTTGCTATCTGATCCCAGAACCTATCTTCCAAAGGTCATCTTCCTTGTAAGAGCTGCCCCAAAGTTAGGCAAATATCCTCTCACAATTAGGTAAAACAGATTCAGCTGTGGTTGCAGACAACAGCCCCAGAGAAAATGGAAGAATTTGGGTTTCATCAGTCGGCATCACCAGAATTTGATTTGGCATTAGACTCAGGGAATTTAGTTTTCTTCTCCCCATTCATTGAGATTTCCTGGAGTTTTAAAATGCACTGATGGTAGCACTTCCACCACCCCCGGCCCACATTCTTATTCCTCTGGTCTGGGATGCAGCCTATGTGACATTTGGAATTTTTAAATCGCCGAAGGTTGTAAAAGACAGCAAGGATAAGTACTCCTCCAGCTTCTTTGGAGGCCTGGCCCTAGGCCTTGGCTTGCATGAAACACAGCTGATGTTATTAACAAGGAGCCCTAGGGCAGTGGGCTATGCACTGAGCTGTCAACCACAAGGTCCATGGTTAAAACCTACCAGCTGTGCCTCAGGAGACAGCTGAGGCTACCTACTCCCACAAAGATGTAGTCTCAGTGACCCAAGAGGGGCAGTGCTATCAGGTCGCGTGAGTTGGGATTGACTCCATGGCACTCAAGTGTGGGAATTATATTAACATTAGGAATATCTGGATGGTGTGCTCGCTTCGGCAGCACATATACTAAAAAAAAATAGGTATGTCTGGATGATACAGACCAAACTGTAAGTGGGGCCAGGGCCTCCTACTTCATTTTTAAAGATATCTGAGTTTCTAATGAAAATCAGGAATGAGCAGCTTTCTAGTGTGCCAGGGTTTCTCCGGTGCTGCAGCTCACTAGAATAACATGGGAAACATCTTTAAATGACTGGTCTCTGCGTCCCATTCAGGATCAATTAAATTGTTATTTCTAGGGTTGGGAGTCAGTGATGAGTATTTCACAATTTCCCCAGGTGGTTGTAAGATGAGCTAAGGTTACTGCCACAAATTTCCCAGTGTTGCAACAACAGAAAAACCATGGGTGGCTTTAAAAGATAGAAGTGTACTCTTTCACAGTTCAGGCAACTAGAAACTTGGATCAGGACACTGGGCCAAGGGGAACACTCTCAGTTCTAGGGGAACTGTGTCTAGAGTCTGTAGCCCCAGCTTCTTTGGTGCCCCTATTCTCTTGCTATGAGATGGTATCAACTCGATGGCAGCAAGTTTGGTTTGGAAGCACTAATCTACCAATTTGCCATACTGTGGTGACTGTGTGTTGTTTAAATGATGAAAGTTATACCACCTGCATTTCAAATACCCATGGGATCACTCATGGTGGGCAGATTTCAGCTGAGCTTCTAAAGTGAAACAGAGACAGAAGGGCAAGACTATGAATAAGGAGTAGGCTGCCCATTTCTGAGGGATTAGCTATTGAAACTATAGATTCAAAGGCCGTGCAATGGGCAATTGTTGGCAGCTCTGGGAAGACTCAGAGGCGGGGCGTTATATGACCCTGCGGAGGTACACGTATCAGGGAGAGCCCACAAGTAACGGCACTCTCAGTTCCTGATGCCACATGCTTCGGGAACCTACAAATTTGCCAAAAGTAAGACCCTGTCTCAAAATTCATCATCTGGACATATGTTAAGACTGTCAAGCCGTTGCTCCTAGAGGAGGCTTGCTTCCATGCACACCATGCTTGCCACAGTTCCGCCTGTGCGGGACTATTTTTGTGAGGTGATGAGAATTTGGGTTAAAACTTTCTGTGTGGGCTTTCTCACTATTAAACTGGGGATCATAATTGTGGGAAAGAAATGAAACAAGCGAAAAATGATAGTTATATATCATTGCACGTACAGCATGGACTCATATTCTACAAGTAAACACTGCTTTGCACACAAAGAAGGCAAAAAGAAATACCAACACGAAGAGTGGTGGGACACTGAGTGTTTTTTCACTGTTTTCCTTAGTTTCCCATTAAATGAAAAACTTCTAAAATTAGGACACATTACATTCTAATGTGGAAAAGTATAAAAACTTAAAAAATACAGTTGGTAAAAGGAAAACACACTTCAAGGTAGCAATGAATTCATGAGATCATATATATATATATTTTATAAAAGACTTTTTAAATTCATGACATAGATACATTAATAAAAGACAACTTCTATGACAGTTCTTTTATAAACCCAAATAACATTTTGATAGGTATCCAGAATCAAAGAGCATAACCCAAAGGTAACTTGGCCTACAGTCACAGAATTTCTCTGCAAAGTCTCATCAGGGTGAGTGAAAAGATATCACTGAGGATTCCTCATCTTTTACATTCGTAAGATCAATCCAAAGGATAGTATCTTCTAAGAATTGCTAAATATTTGTAAATGTTTCCATATTCCTTGCAAGTTCATGATTTTTCAAAAGTAAGCCTCCTCACATATTTAGTAGAGGCAGTTGGTGAATGTTTTCCCACATGCTAGGCGGCCTGGTGTTGTAATGGGTTATGCATTGAGCTACTGAGTATAAGATCAGCAGTTCTAACCCACCAGCTACTCCCAGGTAGAAAG